TGGGTCACATGTCCTCAAAGTGACATCTTTGTTTTTTTTTTTTTTTTCCAAACCAAAAAAAAACCCATACTTAGGTCTTTTGCAGCAGATTATCTAATGCATACAGTGTTTGATTTCTTAACTGCTACCTCTGTGGGTGTTGATTATGGATCCAAGTTTAATGAAATCCTTGGTAACTTCAATCTCTTCTCCATTTATCATGCTGTTGCTTATTGGTCCAGTAGGAGGACTTTTGTCTTCTTTCTGCTGAGATGTAATCCATCCAGAAGGCTGTAGTCTTTGATTTTCATCAGTAAGCGCTTCAAGTCCTTTTCACTTTCAGTAAGCAAGGTGTGTTATCTGTATGTTGCAAGTTGTTAATGAGTTTCCTCTAATCCTGATGCCCATTCTTCTTCATATAGTTCAGTTTGTTGGATTATTGTTCAGCACAGAGACTGAATAGGTATGGTGAAATGATACAACCCTGATGCAATCTTTCCTGATTTTAAACCATGCAGTATCCCCTTGTTCAGTTTGAATGGCTGCCTGTTGGTCTGTGTACAGGTTCCACATGAGGACAAGTTAGTGTTCTGGAATTAATTCCCATTCTTTGCAATATTTTCCACACTTTGTTTTGATCCACACAATCGAATGCATTTACAAAGTCGATAAAACACAAGTAAACATCCAGAAAGGTTACAATATAGGAAACCTTATGGGACAGTTCTACTTTGCTCTGTAGTGTTGCTATGAGTCAGAATCTACTGGACAGCACACAACAGTGGGACTGAGAGGTTTCATCCAAATCTCTTCAGCAACCTGGTCAACCCCAATTTTCTTTTCCATATGTAACAAGCTTAATGGAATTCCACAGATGGACCATCTGTCTCCCCATAATTCAGCCAGATACTCTCTTTCATATTTCCAATTCCTAGTTCGTGCTTTCAGCTCCTGACCTTCAAACTCTCTTTTCCTTCATATTTCCTTTGCTTTTAAATAAGTATGGCTTATAATAAAATAATGGATGTTTGAATAACAAAGTAAAAATAATATAAAGGTTAAATTGTTTAAGCAGATTAATTTTTTAAAAAATGATAGATATTTAATATATACAATGATCTAAATTAAATATTGTGTATTTGTGTATAATATCACAAACAAATGTTGAAGTTATACTTCTGAACACAGAATATTTTCCAAGAATCATTGAAAGAAAGCATATAAGAATTTGATATGCCTATTATTATGGGATCATTATAAGAATTAGTTTTGACTGATGTTATTGAGCTTCTCCATCAATTCTTTCCACAGATGTAGTCAATTTGATTTTTGTGTATTCCATCTGGCGAGGTCAGTGTGTGTAGCTGCCATTTAAGTTATTGAAAAAATGTATTTGCAATGGATAAATGGTCCTGCAAAATTCTATCATGCAATCTCCAGCATTGTTTCTGTCACCAAGGCCATACTTTCCAAATACTGAGGCTTCTTTGTTTTCAACTTAAGCATTCCAATCACCAGTAATAATCAATACATCTTGATTGCATATTTGATCAATTTCAGTCTGTAGAAGTTGGTGAAAATCTTCAATTTCTAGGAGTTGATTGTGGAACAGACCATCAGTTGTTCATATGCAAAGTCAAGTTGAAGCTGTAGAAAATTAAAACAAGTCCATGAGAGCCAAAGTACAACCTTGAGTACATCCCACCTGAAGTTAGAGACCATCTGAAGAATAGATTCACCGCATCAAAACCAGTGACCGAAGACCACATGAGTTGTGGAATGACATCAAGAACGTCACACATGAAGAAAGCAAAAAGTCATTAAAAAGACAGAAAAGAAGAAAAGACCAAAAGTGGATGTCAAAAGAGTTTCTGAAATTTGTTCTTGAATGGAGAGTAGCTAAAACAAATGGAAGAAATAATGAAATAAAGAGCTGAACAGAAGATTACAAAAGGTGGCTCAGAAGACAAAGTATTATCATGAAATGTGCAAAGACCTGGAGTTAGAAAACCAAAAGGAACGAACACTGTTGGCATTTCTCAAACTTTAAGAAAAGAGGGAATGCTCTTTTGAAGCGAGAATGGCCAGACTTCGTCTCACCTGTTTTGGTCATGTTGTGAGAAGGGCCATTCCCTGGAGAAGGATATCATGCTTGGTAAAGTGGAGGGTCAGTGAAAAAGGGGAAGGCCCTCAATGAAATGGATTGACACAGTGGCTGCAAGGATTGGCTCAGGTATAGCAGGGATTGTGAGGATGGCACAGGACTGGGCAGTGTTTCGTTCTGTTGTATATGAGGTCGCTATGAATTAGAGCTGACTTGAACACCTAACAACAGCAACATAAGAATTAGTGTATATATATGTTGTTGTTTTGTTTGTTGTTATGTGCTGTCGAGTCAAACCCGACTCATACCTTGGGTTTCCGAGGCAGTATCACTATGGAAGTAG